ACGGGCGTTATAGCCTCTGGGTATGGTCATAAATAGAAGAAGGCATGACAATGCAAGTAATGCCGGCGCCTGACGAGATCCGTGCCTTATCCATCAAAGGTCAACATGGAGACCGGGCGATTTTCTTGATGTGTCTTCGATAGCTCGAAGCCATGGCTGCTAGCTTTGGGGTTTCAGGGTATATGGCTTTTGCCACACACCCTCCCACGCAGCACTCTAAGCTCCATTCTGCTATGAGCAGCTTTTCGTCTGAGCACCTCACCCCCCCTGGTTAATGAAGCGAGCTTGCTAATCCCGAGGCTGTGATGCCCCGCGAGGAACCCTTTACCTTGCTCGTGCTTCTCCTTGCCTCAATCTTATGTCTTCGGCACATGAACGAGGTCGTACATCCAAAGCCCCGCTGCGCGGTTGGCAATTTGGTAGTGGGGTCACGACGAGCTGGGAATCGAGGCAATTCTTTTGGCCCCACAGACTATCTTGAAAACGCAGCGGACCGACCTGAATTAAATACTGAAGGCAGCCAGCTTGGATCCCACGCGGAATCTCAGCCAAAACATCGACAAATCCTAGAATGCTACAGGCGAGAGAACGAATCAGAGAGATAATCTCAGAACTCCTCATCGGCAGAGAGATGTAGAGCATCCCTGGTCTGTGACTGCAATACTTGACAGTGTCGGGTTTCCCATGCGGCAAGATGTTCTGCCTGCGGCTGCTCCGATTTACAAACGAGACTCGAGAGGAATGACAAGCTGCAACTCCCCACTGTGTCGTAGGCCCGAATCCCGAATCCCTCACAAAGCCGCGTCCTCAACTCTCGACCTGGCTCAGACGAAAGGCCTGCGCCACTCTGCAGGAGCTCGTCACCTTCCCAGTGAACACAGGCATCGACAAAGACCCGTCCTGTACTTGGAAAGAGCCCTCTGCTCTGCTTGCGGAGCTTTTCAACAAAAAGCTCGTGAGCAAAGGTAGATGCCATGCCAGAATCTGAGAACACCTCAGCGTTGCAAATGCCCAGCAGTTCTCACCAGACGAAACTTGTTCTTCTTCGTATTGGTCTGGTCTTCCCGTCGTGGGCACACACTTTGAAAGTGAAGTATACGCAGCATGTCTGGCGGTTCAGCAGGGGCCCACTCGGAACGGGAAACTGGCTCCTATAACTTTCTTAAGTTTGTAAGGATTCATCGCATGTTACTACCAACATACTTGAAACCCCTTCGATGCCTCCCTCCGAAGTCTCAAAGGACCCTCAGGTGCCCAGGCCTTATCTCTCAAGTCGACCGCTCACAGCACTCGGAAGGCCTGAGGACTTTTTGGCGGGTTAATGACATGTGGGTCTCTTCCTAGTTGCTGTACTTGCTGCTTCAGCAGCTCAACTGAAGCTGTCAGACAGTGAAGAATATGGGCGGATCTACGACTACGAGCTCCTTTTCTTCAATGACCGGCCTCTTGTGCTACTTGGCGCCAAGTTCGAAACCCTATTTCTGACCCTCAGTCGCGCGCAGCCCAATCCCTAGATGTCCAAGGTCCCGGAAAGCAGCCCTCTGCAAATGCGCAGCTGCGTCCAACTCGCAAACTGGTGTGCATACGTCTGCATAAGCCGTTCGAGCTTGAAAGCCGCTTCTCAAGCCTGTATCGTCTGAAAATGTGGAAAGATCCACCCTGGCCTTGCCCGGCGCCACGGCCTGCAGCAGCTCTTCGTCCCAGCGGCAAAGCTCGACAACCTCCATCAGGGCTTAGCCAGGGAAGATAGTTGGTTTTAATGCTTTTGTTGTCCCGTGAACCTGTACATCCCGGAACGGAAAAGGGGCTCTCCATTCAAAAGGTCAAAGCGATGTGCAGACACAGAGGTGAAGCTGCAACGCAAGCAGCAGACCCTACTTGGAATCCGAAGAAGATGCGCTTAAAGCTAAACCCTAAACCCTAATCCCTAAACCCTAAACCGTTTTCGATTGCAACTTCCTCTAAGCTTCTTCTCCGAGCGGACAGGTTCGAGTTGCCATGTGGGACTCCGTGGCTCATCGCAGTTCATTTCTGAAAGCTCTAACCAGCAAGGAGGTAATGAAGCGATCGACTTGGACCATGGTGTGATACTCTACGGCTGGTCTCCCCGCTCTGCTAGGCATGTACAAGTTACAGCACCTCAGTTCTGCCTACATAGCTGGTCTGGCCACCGCTGCACATCCGAAATCCCCAAACCGTGACAACCTCGGGTGTCAGCCGTCAGCAAACTTCAATTCCGAACCCCTCATTCAGGTGCAACGTTTTAGGCTATTAGGCGCTGTAAGGCATTGTACCAGTAGGATGTACGACGCACTGGTGGTCGCTCCTATTCGTGTCTTTACAAGTGGCCAGATACGGAACTCAAAAAAGGGATCCGGACTGGAACCCATTAAACCCAGAATGCATGGTGCCTGGGCGCGAGCACCAGCGACCCAGTCCACGCTTTCGACATCCTTGCGGCGCTGCTGCTGCTGCTGCTGTGTGGCTTTAAGGTGTGGCCAGTGTGGCTTAGTCTTGTATGTTGTAAAGGTTTCTAGTATTTGTGAGGGATTTGCATATAGCTTGCAAAGGCAACGTTTTAACAAGTGTCGTTGCAATACCAACACACACACACACACACTCACTTTCGCGTCCTCCGTACGGCCTCCGTTCGCCCCCAGCGCTACCAAGGCCACAGACAGCGGAGAGAGGCCACCTGCATAGCTAGGATTAGATTTTCGTTGTCAGGTGTCCAAGCTTGTAACGGCTTCTAGATGCTTCGAGACGGTCTTTACCGCACTGGCACATTCATGCGATTTCCGGCAGTATTGGCAGTACGTATAGGTTAACGGTTAACATTTACCATGGTCCTGAGGCTAAGTACAGAAGCAGAGCTGGCTCCCAGTCCCCTCTCAGTTTAGGGTTTAGGCAAGCTCCAGCTAAGTGTCGGCCCGATCATGGTCCTTCGGTGCTGCGAAATCGTCTATGACTTGCCGGCCCTATGAGCCCCGAAACATCAAGCAGGCTAGTTCGGAGCTGATGGACTTGCCTTTGCAACTGTGTAGGAACAGTGACCCAAACCCCACTCCTCTTCGGCATGACTAGTAAGTCTGGAACTACCATGTTGACATATCTTGAGCCGACAGTCCCAGACCGTCGTGATCCAGCCCGCACGGTCACGCTCCGAGACCCTCGACTCAAGAGGCTCCCATGTAGCACAACCGAGACTGCACGCTTGCTGCGCAAGGATGTTGCAAGCTGTGTGCCTATCTCGTGGCTTGTGCATGTAATCCGGCCTGGTTGCATCGGGCCCATCCTTAAGGCAGCTTGCAATATAGGTTGTTTGTGTTATGTACGCATGGTTGCCTGCATATGTTTGTTTTTGTCAGGTGTCGCTTTTGCTTACACAGAGCGGGATACAGTGTGTACATATACATATGCCGGTATAGACGCACCCGGATCCAAGCACACGGACAGACGCACACACACACACAGAGATATCATATATATATATATGTATGTATGTATGTATGTATATAATATATACATACACACAGGCAGTCAGAAGGAATCGACATCTGAAAGGTCGCACGGACCACAACATGGGGAAACGACCGAAAACAATACCAAACATGGGCGGGAGCGTGGAGGCGCTGCACTACAGAACGGTTACATGATGAGAGGGCTTTTTAAAATTTTATGGCTGTGAGTCCAGCCTAGAACACACGACATAGTCATCTGATATCTCAAGTCGCGATGGGATGCCCTTGAATGACATGCAAGACTGGGCCAAGTCCTAGCTTTCCTGCTTCGATACTTCCATGCCAGGCTTGGGCCCTTCGGATCCTGAGATATAGAACCCAACTCCTAAACCCTAAACCCTAAACCCTAAACCTAAAGCCCTAAACTGAAGCGCGGCTCGGATTCTGCAGTGCAACGCTCGCACCGGCGAAGATCTCTCCACGAGCCCGGAGGACACAGGCAGCCAGGCCTTCACCTGATGTTATTGGACACTTCCATAGAAATATAGGGACATGCTCGGTTTAGGGTTTAGGGTTATAGGGTTTAGGGTTTAGGGTTTAAGGTTTAGGGTTTAGGCTCGTTTAAAAAAGTGCTGCAGCAACGAATGGAGCAATTCTATGAAGACAGATCAGGTACCATCAGGTAGATGTGCAAATGGCAGAAATCGTGCAAACTTTGAGTTCGCACACCTGGGAAAAGAGCTTGCGCATTTCTCGTGTTCCCATGCCATTGCCTTACGAAGCTTTGGGTCATCTACGAGCTGTAATGGCTGTACCAATAGCACAATGGGAAACTGAAGACCAGAATCGCATCGGTCTCTGTTGCAGCAAGGCCCTTCAATGCTGAATCAAGGCAACAACCGGTTCCAGCAGGAACCAGAACTACTGGAGTTTAAGTACAGGTGTGAGCTTACATGCTCAAAGCCTGTACTGAAATCCAAGTTTGCCAATGTACCAAGCCAGTCTTGCTCACCCAGAAAGGTTCAACCTTGCCGAGGTGCCGTAGTTGCAGCAATAGGCCCAGTCCAGAGCCTTTCTTGCCACGTCCGCTTCGGGCTGCGAGAGATCCAGGCCCTGAGAAACGAAAGCTCGGAATACGGGCATAGAAGCATACAGCACTAAAGAGGGCTGCAGCATCCGGCGTGCTGCATATATTCCATGTGGCGAGGGTGGAACGTAATGACTAGTTGATCAATCTGCTTTTGAACGTGCGAGCCATCCTGAATACTACTTCAGAACATGTTGGCAGTGCATGCACCTGAGTACCGCAGTCTGTCACAACCGGTCCTACGATCGGGAATAGTAAACGCCCATCGTGCCTGTCATGATCCCCAGACAAGGAGGAAGGCATCACCACAGTCACAGGTAGGTGTCGGGCGGCAAGAGCGTTTCAAAGCCCTGCAGCCCAGAATCCCAAATCGAAAACTGAGCAATTTCATCGTGTGCCTTTGACATTCGGGGAGCTAGCAGTGACCCAGGGGGCGGCCCACCACCGCCGGTTCAGCCGTGACCTGGAGGTGTACTGTGCGTTCGGAAGGTCTCGAAGAACCGTATTTAACAGGCAACAAGTGCAGCTGTCATGCAGATAAGGGCCAGAGACTTTGTCCGATTCTTAGGTACGCAAAGAGACAGGAAAGTCGGTCTCGGATGGGCTTTACATGGTGGGTCATGTTATTCCGCATACTGTCATTGTACAAGTAATTGTCTCCCGCGGCCACTACGTTCTACAGACGAGGTCGAACAAACTTGCAGGTCACGCTGCTGTCCCAGACAGGAGCCTGACCTTGCCTTGATTACAAGTTCAAGGCAGCAGGGCGTCCCTTTGCTACCTGCAGTCCCGGTTGGACGAAGTTGAGGCACAGACTAACAGGGTCCCCCATGTATTCTACGACATGGTACTTACTTGTGTTTTGCTGCGCGGCACATCGAAGTTAATAGAGCGAGCACGATAGCAACACAGCAGAGCAGGGGGGAGTAAGAGCGATACCTGCTCCAATGACATCCACGAGCCGCGCATCTGCAGCGCAGCGCTGGGCAAAGAGGCCCTCGAAGGAGCCCGGAGCTTCTGAGCACGTCGAGGAGTTGGCTTTCCAGGGTGTACCGGGTGCAGAAGTTAAGGGTAGGTGACAACTTTCTCTGACACCAGTACACCAACAGTAATCACACCCACATTGGAGTCTTGAAAGGCATGTAACTGGAGGTTGCATGTCGCAGGGATGTCATGCTCAGCATCGAGTAGACAACACAGCAATGATGTAGCAAGCATGATAAGGCGAAACTGACACTTGAACGTCAGAAGCACGAAACCGCACCAAGCGGTACAGTGCGGCACGGCGGCACGACAGTGCTTTTTGCATCAATGACATGCATTAAACATTGGTGAGACACACTCTGCGACGACTCTGAAACTAGTATGTCATCAACAATCTCATGCAGCGACGGACGTGACAATGCGCCGACAAACTGGAACGCACAGGCAGTTCGCAACACTACAACCTTTACCAAGGGCACCCTGCTGACTGCTGAGTTTGCATGGCTGGGGAGGTCCCGGCCCAAAAACTAAGTTTCGGATGCCACCCTTTAGACGAAGGCCCAAGACTTCACGCCCGGTGCGCCCGGCCTTCACCACCGAACCACTTCACCTCAAGATCTAAGTTAGGGTGTCACGATGCTGTGGGTTTCAGACTATCGAGAAAGAGTGACATCCATACTTTTGGGTAGAGTTCTGCAGTTCATTTACATCACAGCATCCGGTTGGAGGTCTTCGGAATGGAGAAGTTGATAGCAAGAATCTTCATCGTCATGGCAACAATATGACGGGCATCTGACTATTTCTGGGGGACCCTAGCTGCTTTTCCTGAATGTTGTAGGCATGAGCGAGCTGATGTCTGACGATCTGCTGCTCAACCTGCTGGGACTGGAAGGCCATCGAGCAGCAACAGCGTAAAGTCTTCAACCCTGCACATACTTTTCCTCCCTACCTGCCTCTGGGAAGTTCTCCAGCTGCCGCAGCCTCACTTGAACTGTCTCGCTGGTGTACTGTGGGACTAAAGCAGGGTGGACAGCATGCCTACGACTCTTGGGCAAGCTGCAGCGGGCTAGCCAAACCCAGGACTCGATGTTCAATGATAGAACTTCAGCATATTATTTAAACCTAAGCAAACCATGGGTCAGATCCCAGTGTCAGTCCAAACCACGTGCAAACGACTGCCACACTGAACAAACCCTGACTTCACCCCAGTCTGAGGCTACTCTGACCCTAGGCCCTATGCCTTGAATGCAGTGGAAAGCTTCAGATGCTTTCAGAAGGATTCCCACCCTCATCCCTCACGATCATCACGAGGAAATTGCAGAAGCATCAGGCTGGGAATTACAACACATCTCACGTACCGGCATCCTGCACATGGAGCGAATGCTACCTGCCATGCTCATTGCTGTGCCGGTGTCCTCCTTTAGCCCGAAGTCTGAAGACAACCCAGCCCGCATCTTGAGTTCATCGGAGTGCACACTCAACTAGCAATCCTCTTGTCAGTCGTCTTACTGATGCCCTGGAAAGCATTTCAAGGAAGTATATGTTCTGAACATGAGCATAGTTGAATTCATATGATTCTTGCCGCTCTACATACCTAGCCAGATGCCCTCGCAATGGACGGTGCTTCCAAAATGATTCATTGGACTGCTCAGTTGCCTGTTTTGACAAGCGCACGTACAACTACGACTACTACTACTACTACTACTACTACTACTACTGCTACTACTACTACTACTACTGCTACTACTACTACTACTACTACTACTACTCCTCGTTCTGCTACCGCTACTGACACCCTTCGGTTCATGGCTGAACAACAAGCATTCTGCTTCACTGTCACCTAGCCCGCCAGGTGGGTGTTTACAAGATGCTCCGAGATGCTGTGCTAAATGGGCATGCGTGGCATGACAGGGTAATCTCAGACGAGGTATGCATGCAAGCATGTACATATACATGTGTGTGTATATATATATATATACGTACATATCCGGGTATATATTTATATACTACACCATCCAGATAGACACATCCTCATATACATATCTACCACCCTACTCTGGACGATACTGAGGTGTGAGAGTTGCCATCCGGCCACCGAGGAGCAGGTCCACAGAACCGCCTCTGGGACGCTCGCGGCAGCCAATGGCCTCAAAAGCCTCGGATGTAGGGTAGGGTAGGGTAGGGGTTTAAAGTTAAGGCTTGGTGAGTTTAGTGTTTGGGGTTTAGGACTTTTTTTTGGTGGACCTTTTTCCGTCTTGCTAGAGCTCGGAGAGCCCAGGGCTCAGGGTTTATGAATCATACTTCTACTACCAGGTCAAGCGATTCAAGATGTGCGAAGCGTCGTCACCGGATTCAATTCCTATCCAAAGGGTTGCCAACAGGATTACCTTCACGATTATATACTACAAGTACAAGGGCACTACCCAAAATACTACATCCAAAGAGGCCGCGAAGCGCTGAACTCTAAACGCTCATGCGAGCCGGGCACATCGCCACAAAGAAGAGCATTGGCAACGAGGACCTGCGAACTGGCAGAGGTCTCCTCCTTTAGGCTTTACATACGGCTCATGGGACGGAACATGCGGCCCAAAGTGTGGTGTTGTTTGCAGAAATTGTGTCTGCGTGGGGTCTTCTTCTAGTAGATTCTAGGCATTTCGCGATGTTGGAGGTGGAATGACGATCACTCGAACGAAGAGTGCTTGCTGAGATTCAGAGCTCTGAATCCAAGTGCTTGGAGTCTGCAGATGGTTGCAGCAGTTGAAGGAAACCAGCTCGCATGCAGCAGGCTCTTCCTGGCCTGTGTCGCGCTCAGGCGATGCTGGGCCAGGTCTAGGGCAGGACCTCCGCAGAGGTTCAGGTTAGGATAGCTGCATACATACATCCAAACATCCTTTCATGCATACATGAATACATACAAGCATACAAAGACACACACACACACACTCACATGGCGCATGCCATGTATGCTTGTACACAATGTTATGCAGTGCAGTGCATTACAGCATCATTCAATGTAGTATAACATACATCATGCTATGTTTATTTGTGTGTCTGTGTCTATAGCTACTGTGTGTGAATCAAAAATATGCTGTACTAGTGGAAGCATTCAGTTGCCTGCATGCCTTGGAAGTCCTCCATGTTTTCGAAGATGAGAATGTATGGGACAAGCTTTGCTGCGCAGCTGCTTCTACAGTGACTGCCATGAAACATGACTCAGGTAAATGTGGAAACAACCATGTCCGCTCGATTCCGCTCGTCGCAACTCTAAAGCCTCTGCTAGCTTTACTCCTCGCAGCTGACTTCAGGTCAGCTCTGTTCAGCGTAACTTTCTTCATCGGGCGTGAATGCCGGAATCACTCCAAAAGCACGTGTCAATCTCGTCGCGCTTAGTATCAGCTATAACTGTGAGGTACACCCCAAGTCGGGCTAGTCGATGGCCTAGGAGAACGTCACCGCTGCGCATGAGCCCCACAGCGACGGGGCAGCTGCCTGACAGACGTGTGCATGCTCGATTCGCTGGCACTGCTGCTGCGTGCTTCTGCTGATGGTCGTTTCATCCCCAGCCACATTAGGTTGAAGACCTGTGAAGGAAGACCGCCTCCAAGATGTGTCGTCAAAGACTCGAGCAGCTTCTCCTTGGCTTCAGGCTCGGCCGTCCCGGTCAATCTACCTGGCTTCACCTGCCTCCAGACATCATAGGCAGCAAAGATCAATGCCGTTCGGATGCTGTGTTATAAGCAGTCCTGCCCTGCATTCACCATGGCTAGCAGGAAACCGTCTCGAACACGGGAAACCCATGAAAAGCCAGTGCGTCAGGGGCTCTTTCGATAGCTTCAGCCGATCTTGCAGAGCCTCCGACGGGTTTCGCGTCTGGTCTCACGCTCCAAACATCGCACATGCAAGCTTGAGCTTCAACATCCGATATGTACGGGGTCTATGAGGAGATTTTTTCCAGGCAGGCAGCGTGTTGCCTTTCCATTAAAATTCTGGACGTCACGACATGTCGGGCTCCCTGGGCTTCGGGTAGCGCCTGTGACTGTGGAGAACGCGCAGTACAGATGCGATAATGCAAGCTAGCCAGCTGAGATATGACAAGACATTAATTATGCGTAGCATGTCCCCGAGCCTGCTCAGAAAACTACAAGCGGAGACGGGGACACGGAAAAGATCCACCCATTTGCTTGACCGTTGTTCTGTTCTCATTATTTACTTTTCAACTCTTATCTCATCGATTTACAGGGCAATCGACGCTGCTGTTCGTTTCTACTCTTTTCGTTTTACAGCAAAACCCTAACCCAGCCTGTCAAATTAAGGACGGGCTTGCTCTACTGCCAATCTACATCTGTTGTGCAAAGCTTGGGGTACCACGGAGTATCCCGTGGACTTCATCCAAAAGCTTCCAACCACAAACCCGGATCCCACCAGTGCCTCGCGATGATCACGGCTCAGCCGCCACGGGGTCTTGCGCACTGCTGCCGCCAGTCCATCGACGCCGCCTGAGCACAAACGACACCGCAAGTGTGATGGTGCCAGCTGGATTCGAGAACGTGTCCGGCAGGGCATGACGTGGTGTCGTTGTTGATTAATGCGCATGTCTGAGAATTCTAGGCAGCTTGTAGCCCCTGCCAGGCAAGGCTGAGGGCGTGCGAGCTTGACGAGGAGGGGACAGCAAGCATGGCGACTTGACAGATCGTCCCAATGCCCTCTGCAGTGGCCAAGCCTAACATGGACCTGGTATGCCGGCAGGTCTGAAACACAGATGCGGGTCGCCCCATGCCAAGTGCGAGTGCACCTTCATAGTTCGTACACTGTGTTTCACAAGAAGGCAGCTCCTCCTGAATCACGCTACAGTTGTCCGTAGAATGGTTTGTTCAAAAATCATAAGCACCCTGCAAACAAACCAAGAGGCTCGGCACAGCGCGCCAAAGCTGTCGGCCCAGCTGCATCGGCCGGTGTGATGGAAATGGCTAGGAACTGGAGCTTGGCTTGGGGTCCAAAGACCCCTACAGGAACGATCTGCTGTACCTATCGGAGCAATGACAGCCCCCGTGAGCTCGACATTGACCATCACATCCCTCGGTTTGCAATTGCATACTGTGTAGTCAGATGGGCATACCTCCAAAAACAGGCCAGCGGCGGCCAGTCTAGAATGACCGTAGCCAGAATGAAGGGCACACCCCTACACTTGTCAAGACCCTCATGGTGCGATTGCACCGGTCTGATTCGCATCAGCAGCCATGGATGCTATCGCTGCGCTTGAGAACTCGGTCGAACTTGGCGTCTGGGCTGCACGGAAAAGTAGGATTCAAGGCTTCAGCTTTCGCGAGTGCTGGCAAGGCTTTGTGTGAAGTTCGATTCGCAAGCCTTTCGGTGCACAACCTCTGTGGAGACTCGGCATTGCTCTTTAGCCAGAAAATCAGGCGCCGGCTGCCAAGAAAGATTCGATTGCTGCGCTTACCAGCAAAGCCCTGCAAATTCGAGATCTCAGTCTTTCAGCTGCCTCTATACAAGTCCAGAATCGAAGAGTGTCTACATAAGGACTTCTAGGCCCCAGGCTCTGTTTCTGTGCTTCTTCGATCTCCGAGCGAGCACCTTACGGGGCTCCAGCGGTAGATCGCACAGAAGGCCATACTGCAACCAAGCACGAGATATGGGAAGAACTTAGTGTGGTGTGTAAGTCCCGTGAAGCTGTGGGAGCAGGGTTGGGAAACGGGAAAAGATGCGAAGAGCGTCCATCGGTACAGTAACTCGAAGACTGCCAGAATCCTTCACCTGAGCCCTTGCAGCCTCAAGGTAGGACTCTACACAAAAAATCATCTAGCTAATCGAACACTGAAAGCCCCCAAGTCCCAGGTGCAACGATGCGCCAAAAGCCATGAGAGCGGTGCCACCATCCCCGGGCCCTAAACTCACAACCTCGCGGAGAAAAAGCCCTTAGAAGCCGGATTCTGCGCAGTGTTAGAAGCACAGCGACACGGTGTCTTACAAAGAATTGTCCGTGGTGCGACGCTTGGGTACAGGATCTTTTCGTTCCTGTGGGATGGCTTTAGCAAATGACGGCCAGTACTACAAGCCAGACACAGCCGATTCGTCTGAACTCTTCGGTCCAGTGAGGCCGGCAACATCCTACAAGCCTGCAAATCCTATCATCTCTGACTCTCCTTTCTTCGGGGCTCAGGCTTTTGAGCTCGCTGTTGGCATCTTGCAAGGTGAGGAGCCGCTCCTGTCAGGAAGACAGACGTTCTTCTGTGCTTGCCTGAGGTGTCACCACAACTCTTCGCACTAGATACACAATACCAATACATACAAGCGATAAGCATCGGCCATGTTGAGGATGTGCCCTCTGGCTGGGCAAGTCAGGACCCGCTGCCGATACACTTTTGCCACTATGTGCTGCAAGAAGTGCCGTTATAGATCCAATACAGATCCAACTTTGCGAAGGGATTCAAGATGCCTATCGGCGATAGTCCTTCCTTATGAGAAACCTCTGTCTGAGAACCTCAGACTTTGCCGTTCTGCACAACAAAACATCCACTCTACATGACCTTTCGACTATGCATGCAGGCCTGCAGGGGACACTACACAGCATGTCTTGTAAGGGCAGCAACAGATCATTCAAGAAACGCTGCAGCTCCCGAAGCTGTCGATTTTCGCGCTCCAGGGCCCTGCCAAGTTCGGGGCATCAAAAATACATGAAGAGTTCGGACTCCTCAGGTGGGTCAGGTGGGCCCAAAGGGCTAGAACAACAAGAAGCCTGCAGCTCCCTACCATCGCTGGTAAGCTTTGCGATTTCGAGCGTAGGGCTTAAAACCCTTAACCACAAAACCCTAAATCAAGCATGTACCTTTGCACTGCCTCGCTACTACTACTACTACTACTACTACTACTACTACTACTCGAGGAAGTGCAACGGTCACATGTACAGTCGCAGACACCGTGATTGTCACGTGCAAAGCACGTTACTATGGTAACCTGCAATTAGCGTGTCATCCGAAAATTGGTTTGTGGTGCCGGTAAGTTGAGCGAGACTGCATCGGAGAAGGAGAGGAGAGCATGCAAGAAGCTCTGCCATCGTGCTGCGAGCGTATTCGATGTAGATTTGGTGCAAAGCACTACAAAGTAGACGCACACGATGCTCCAAAGGTGGCGTTCACAAACTTATGCATACACTATACCGTACCTCCGTCCAGTAAGTGTCAGGTGTCAGGATACTCCACTTTCATCCCTCCTCCCTCGTTTAACGACCACGTAACTCCGGCCTCTGCTTTCTCCAGTTCTCCTGGCTATTTTGCCTGGGTGCAATGTCGCAAGAGGCGCCCCAGTGGCCATGGATCATGTGAAACATGCCTGCATACCAAGAGGGTAGTTTTCTAAATTAGGGTCCCCTTTTAGGGTCCTTGTTATAAGGGTGCCGTACTATATTGGGGACCTAAAACGGGACCCTAATTTAGAAAACTACCCAAGAGCAGGTGTGAGGTTGCTGTCTTCCTGGAGCCTTGGCCAAGCTCCACGTGACGAACCCGTCTAAGTCTAAGTGGCTTCAGGGTGCACATAGCAGCTTGACATAGCAAGATGGTAAGAAACCTTGCATGACCTGTGTAGTTGTAAAGTTCGAGGCATGTTCAGTAACTTCAGAAATCTCCGTCAGCCAAGGTACGGAACTTCGATTTCACCTACACTCCCAACATCGCGTCGCAGTCATGTGGTGATATGGCCATGCATGTTCAGGGTACCTACAAGGTCCGGAGGCCATCTTCATGCCAGGGCACCGGGACGCTTCTGCCGACTCCTCGGCCTCTTTCCGGTCGCGCGCACTCTGCCTTTCGAATCAATTGGGTGTCCTTTAGGCTAGGGTTTAGGGTTTAGGGTTTAGGGAGCCTTTAGGGATCGACAGCCAGGCACCAACTGTAACTATACGGAAGGCAGATTGCACTGCTCGAGTCCATCCCAATCCAGAAGCCCTGGCCCAGTCTTGAAGAAATCAGATTGCTACAGGACGGAGACCCTGCCTTAGTCCCGGAGCTCGCAGGGCTTGAGCTTCGGGCTATCACGGTCTGGCGACTTCAAGCTATGATGAACCTATCCGAAATTGGAGGAAATCACTGCGATTTCCCATGACAACTGTCTGACAGTCCCGGCAGCCCCCAGGAAAGAAACCTCAGCAAAATCTACTTGTAAAGAGGGCTCATAACGGCACTCTAGCATACTATACTCTTCTAAACTATACTATGTTATACATATTCTATTATAGTATACTATACTAACAAACATCCTGCTATAGTATTACCATGTATTACTCGTCTACTTCCGGAGGCCCGTGTCGGAGTCGGAGCCTTATCTCCTCCAAGCGCTCGCGGCTCATGGCCTGCCGTGCCGAAAGAGTTGATGTAGGGGCCATAATCTATAATTTCAATAGGGTTCCTTGAAAGGGCTCCTTTAAAGGGCTCCTTTAAGGGTTCTATAAGGGATACTACAAGGGTGTAAGGTTTAGGGGCCTTAATAATTAGAATAGGGTTTTGGGGCCCATTATACTATAAATATAAAAGGGAACCCGCAAGATAGTGTAGGTAGTTGTAAAGGCCCCTATATTAATTAATACCATATCATTTGTTCTTACGAACAACAATCATGCCTATTGACAGTTATTATTAATTACTCATGATCATTGTTATAAGTATAAATAATATATCCATAGCTGTTACCGTTGTTATTGTTATTATTAGTATCATTATCCGACGTCCCTTCAGTGGGGTTCTTCATAAACAAGTTTCTTCTTCTTCTTATTCTGGGCCGTCTGTGATCCTGCAGCTCTTGTTGAAATCTGCAACGCTGCTGATGCAGGTGTGTTGCGGGTTTATGCCAACATCTGGAACAACAGAACTCCTACCCTGCAGCCCAGTCCTCCTGCGGACATTGACGAAGCCCACTCAAAATCCCCAGAACCCCGAAAGGGATAAAATCCAAACGTTTAGGGTGCTAAACCCTAAAAGCCCCCAGAAACCCTATGTAAGCCCCCAAATCCCTTCCGCCCCGCCTCAGCATCTTCTCGCCGACGGCGCTCGGCGGCCAGCGAGCTACGAAGGGCCTTGAGCTCCTCCGTGGTATGGGTTTCATCGTGGGGCTGTAGGCTAGTGCCTCCGAGCTTACAGGATTTCGGGCTCAGGGCTCACAAAGTTTCGCAGTTTCGTGCTCACCACAAAAACCTGCAAGCGGTGGAGCTTCAGGGCAATACGATGCAACATCTTTCGGGCTCTAGATCTAGGATTTGGCGGCGATTGAAAGGCCTGCATGAACTTGAGTGTTATGCCCGCTTTCATATGAGTAGCCCTACAAGATGACAGGGTCCCTTTCATAGGCAAGTTCCGGTGGATCTTTGCCTGGTGCTGGGCGAGTTCCTGCAATTTGACGGTCGGTTGCTCCGAGACTTCTAGATTCGAGCGATTCTAGTCTCCTCCAGGAATCTGTCAAAATCTAAGGGCTCCTTAGCTAGTTGCTTCCGATCTTGAAACTTGACGGAAGCTGGCCAGAGCAACTGGCAGTATGCAGTTGGCCAAGGCGTTTCAACCGCCACACTTCATTGTTGCACGTTTGGAAAGCAAATGCCGTTGTTCATTTCCTTCGGCCTCGTTTGTAGCTCTCGCCAGCGCCATTCGGAAGGGTGTTCAAAAGCAGCCACAGGTACTATTGCAGTGGACACTGCACTGGATTCACTGGGTGCATTTGGAGAATGAAAATTCAGGCACTTGCAATCTTACCATGCGCAAGTTTTCAGCTTCAGGCTCTTTCCGTCATGCCGCAAGAGTTGGTGCCTCAACGTACTTGCTCCGCTGGCCCTCTTCAATGCGACGGGCAGCCTGGTGTTGCCAAAGCTGCAAGGACAAATTCATGCCAAACAACAAATGAACAGGGAGAGGTACATGAAGTACTTTGGAGGTTCCAGTTGTAG